GGGGGGTCGGGTGTGGGGTTTAATAGTGGAAAACTCAAGGAAAAGCTATTTTTAGAAAAGCTATTCCATCCATGTCTCGGCTACAAGTGGTGGCAAGGGGGTGGGAGTCGAGTGTGGGGGTCGGGGTGTGGGGTTTGATAGTGGAAAATCCAAAGAAAAGCCATTTTTAGAAAAGCTATTCCCTTTATATTTTCGCTACAAGGGGTGGCAAGGGGGTGTGGGGTCGGGCTCACAAATGGGCTTCAGGGGAGGCGGGTGCCTGTGTGCCATACGACGTGGTGCGATCTTGAAGCTTGTGTGCGGCTTGGTGCGACTCTGAAGCATGGGTGCAGTGCGATTTGGTGCGATCTTGAGACAGCATGTGTGCGACTAGGTACGACTTGGAAGCAGCTTGTGTGCAGTGCGACTTTGAAGTAGCTTTGTGTGCAGTGCGAAGTGGTGCGAGCTTGAAGCTTGTGTGCGACTTGGTGCAACTTTGCTTGAGCTTGGTTTGGAGTGCCTTGAGCCTTGTTGCTTCAGGTGTCAAGAATGGTAGATGTGCATGAAGCAGGCCGGGGAGCTATCAACAAGCCTAGGCAGACCATGGCACAAAGCTGCAGTGCAGAGAAACACCTAGACTCGACGGGTCAAATGTGCAGAGCTGCAGCGGCTTTTTGTTCAAACAACAAGCTCTTTGCAAGTAATCTTGTGATCATGGATTCTGCAACAGCCAGATCCAGATCTAGAAGCCCTCGGGCATCCTCGTCTGAGGACGAGCAATTCGATGTTGAAGTCGAGTCTGCTGCCGAAGAGCCGGAGCTCGACGGTCAAGCTTGGCAGCTCGACTTCAACAGCTTTGGCACCGGGCCTGTCGACGTGGATATGATCTTCAAACAGATTCTGCCCAGAGAGTTGCCTGTCGGGGATGATGTGCTGTACATCAGCAAGGAGGGTGCGGTCCCAAAAATCTATCCTGAAAGGGGATGTTTCATTCATTTGGCCGCACATCCTGTGGATGTCTTTTGTGCTGCTCCCCCTGGCTGCCGAAATTTGTACTCTGGCAAAAGGAAGATCTGCGAGGCACTGGTGAAGCAGGGGTTGCAACTTGCTGTGCCATGTGTGGCTGGGGAGTCACTGATGCTGGGGATGACCAAGATTCCCTGCAAAATGTTTCTTGCTGCCTTGGAAGCCTGCAACATAGACACAGTGTACGTGGGACACTTTGGGGCCCGGTGGCCTTGTGCCACAATCGGGGACGGTGTCCGTGCCGGGGTCTTACATGGCCTAACCTCTTGGCACACTGGTGTTGACCTTGCTTGCAGACTGGGTGACAAAACCAAGATTTTATTGCTTGGTTTCAATATTGGCGACACAAGTGGTGTTACCAATATCCCTGCCTTCCACCCGGCCATGTGCCCTCTGAAAGCAAGGGTCCACCCGATTCTACCGGATTTACAACAAGGCAGCTATCCTGTGGTGCATCTTGGATTGTATAGAAGAAGCCTTAAACTACAAAGTAAATTCACTTGATATAAGCTGTTTATTGGGCCGAAGCAAATGGCAGGTATGGCACTTTGGAGATCAAGGCCAGAAGATCTGGCAGGGAAGCCCCCTTTAGGGGGAATGATGTGGGCAAATATTTGATTGCCTACCAGTGCCTGCACAAAGCCTTCAGAACCTTCAAAGGCCAGTGTCATTTCAGCAGCTTCCCCAATTGCCACTCCACAATCAATAAACAAATGTCTGCAGCAGGGCGAATTGTTAGGTGCACTCTCGCCACACCGGACGATCAGCTTGGAGGACTTAGGGTGGAAGCCAGGGCCACTTGCTCTGAGCTTGGCCAGCAAGCCACACCCGAGCAGTTGGCATGGCATTGTGAGAGAAGGCTGAAAGTCTTCACAGCTTTGGTGCTGCATGGTGTCTTCGACATGAAGGACCCTGGGTGCAAGTATGTAGCTAGCTACTGTAGTTATGAGTGCCTCGAGCAAGCCGTGTGTGTGTGTGCAGTGGCCATGCTTGTGCGATCTTCCCCTGTGTGGCCTTCGTAATGAGCCGTGCGATAGTGTATGCAGCCTGAGTCTAGGTTTGAGTTGCTTTATAGGTGGGCTCTTGGAAGGAGATCTCAGTCCAAGACTACAAGATGGCCATTGAGAAAGCTTGGGATGAGTTTGAGAGTTTTCCTGACCACGGCCCTGGCTTCGCAGCTCGAAGACGTTACTGGTTTAAGCTTTTGTCCACATTGGGACATATTTCTGGCCGATATGAAAGACACATATTTACATCACTGAAGCCACAGCAGGGGAACGATGTGGCAGTGGAAGAGCATGAAGTGGCCGCACAACACCCTGCCGAGGAGCCTTCGGCAAAGGAAGTTGCTGCTGGGCCACAGGGGTCACAATCAATTGGTCTGCCCAATGCCGCCAACTACGACCACATCCAGCAAGAGAACCAGCTGACAGATGAGGCGAAAGAAATCTTAACCAAGCTTCCACTCAAGACATGCAAGGGCTCCAGGAAATATGTGGTATATTGCAGAAATGGATGGGGTTTGTCGACCTCCAAGAAGTGCTACAAGTCAAGTGGGTTTGCGACAAGGGAAGGCTTGTCTCAAGCCGTGGCTGACTGGTGTGCAGACGGTGGCGATGCCTGGCACCTCAGAGTCAAGCTAGACTGACAGCCTCCGTGCCATCAAAAAGCCTGACTGAATGCCTCCTTCCGTGCATTTTGATTGTTCCCAAGTTCCCAAGCAGTTTGCCAGGCCGTGAAGCACGTGTTCGGACTGGATGGATCCGTGGGACTTTGAATCAGCTCGTCTGCACTGTGACTTGGTCGATCTTGAAGTTTGTGTGTGTGTGTGTGACTTGGGCGAACAGGTGTGAACTGAAGCTTGTGTGCAGTGCGAGTTTGAAGTAGCTTGGTGTGCAGTGCGAATGGGTCGGATCTGAAGCTTGTGTGTAGTGCGAGTTTGAAGTAGCTTAGTGTGCAGTGCGAACAGGTGCGAACTGAAGCTTGTGTGCAGTGCGAGTTTGAAGTAGCTTGGTGTGCAGTGCGAATGGGTCGGATCTGAAGCTTGTGTGTAGTGCGAGTTTGAAGTAGCTTAGTGTGCAGTGCGAACAGGTGCGAACTGAAGCTTGTGTGCAGTGCGAGTTTGAAGTAGCTTGGTGTGCAGTGCGAATGGGTCGGATCTGAAGCTTGTGTGTAGTGCGAGTTTGAAGTAGCTTGGTGTGCAGTGCGACTTACTTGTGTGATTCAGCTTGTGTGCAATTCAAAGCCCTCAGCCCCGGAGCCAGGATGGGGTGAGGCTTGTGGGCGAGCCCCAAAATGAAGCTTACATAAGAGAGCTGTGGGAGGAAATCAATGACTTTTCAAGGGGCCCGAAGCCCCAGGGGTTCGTGCCGATTTTGTGCTTGTTCAAGTGGCACACGGTGAAATACCAAAAATGATATTCGGCTTTTAGTGACGAAAGCCAATTGCAAAATATCAGGTTTTGAATAGGGAAGGCTGGGGGTGTCCCGGAAAGGACGATGGACAGAGTGGGAGGAAAGGGGCGAGACAGGGGTCTGGAGGCTCAAAAAAAATGGGGTCTGAAGGGGAGGGGTGTCAGTGCCCAAAAGCTGAATTTCCATGCAAAAAGCCAAAAGCGCCAAATTCGTATGAAAAAGTAAGGGGCTTGCTAAGGGAACAATTGAGGTCGGAAGATTTTGGGCCTTGCCTATCGAAAACCGCCCAAAAGATGAGGCCCAAAAAAGTCAATTTTTGGCACTTTTTCGAGATCCATTAGGGATGGTGAGAATCTTGAATTTTTGCATTGAAACATATAGGTTTTGCTAATGAGCAAAATGGATGTTGAGCATTCCTATCAAAATCGAAAAAATACGATTTTCGTCGGATTGCCCTAGCTACTTGTCTTTTTTATAAAAAGAAAGCCGGCCTCCGGCCGGCCGGAGGCCGTTGTATTCGTGCATGACTCAAAAGCCATTGTATGTGTGTGGAAAATTGAAAGTTTTTGCTGGGTTCGCGAAGCGAGAAATTTTTTGGTTTTTATGCAAAAATTCGTGCAAAAGTGACAGGAAAGGGGAGGAGTGGGGGTGGTCGGGTTGAAAATTGGGCTCAGGGGGGAAGTGGGTGAGGGGTGGGTGTAAACTGTGTTGCCTTGTATGTGCACAGAGCCTTGTATATGTGGGCTCTTGGAGCAAGGCTTCTGTGTGCAGAAAGCTATTGCAGTGATGTAATGTATCTGTCTGTGCTCAGTCATGCAATGTGTGTGTGTGTGCTTTTACAGCAAGCCTTGTGTGTGCAGTTGATCAGTGCAATTCAACTGTTCGTGCTGCTGGTGCTCCTGCTCCTGCTCCCCTCCTGCTCCTGCTGCTGCTCCTGCTGCTGCTCCTGCTGCTGCTCCTGCTGCTGCCACACATGGCTGTCCAAGTCGCGCACAAATCGCACTGCCCCATGCTTCAAGTCGCACCACAGCAGAGCACGCACACAGCTTCAAGAACCGCACCACGTCGTATTGGCCCACAGGCACCCGCTCCCCTGAATTCCCATTTTTGAGCCCGAACCCCCACACCCCCATTGCCAAACCCTTGAGCGAAATATAAACAAACAAGGGAATAGCTTTTTCTACAAATGCTTTGCTTTGGTCGGATTTTCCACTAATCAAACCCCCACACCCCGACCCCCACCTCGCTCCCACCCCCTTGCCCCCCACTTGTAGCCTATACATGGATGGAATAGCTTTTCTACAATAAGTTTTCCTTGGGTTTTCCACTCTTAACCCACACCCGACCCCCCACCCACAGGCCTTTGTACCCAGAAATGGATGGAATAAGCTTTTCTAAAAATAAGCTTTTCCTTGGGTTTCCCACTTATTACCCCCCCCACCCACAGACCCCCACCCCCTTGCCCATTTGTAGCCAAGACATGGATGGAATAGCTTTTCTAAAAATAGCTTTTCCTTGGGTTTTCCACTATTAAACCCCGGCACACCCGACCCCCACCCCCTTGACCACTTGTAGCCAAGACATGGATGGAATAGCTTTTCTAAAAATAGCTTTTCCTTGGGTTTTCCATTATTAAACCCCGGCACACCTGACACCCACACTCGACTCCCACCCCCTTGCCACCACGTGTAGCCGAGACATGGATGGAATAGCTTTTCTAAAAATAGCTTTTCCTTGGGTTTTCCACTATTAAACCCCACACCCGACCCCCACCCCCTTGCCCATTTGTAGCCAAGACATGGAATAGCTTTTCTAAAAATAGCTTTTCCTTGGGTTTTCCACTATTAAACCCCGGCACACCCAACCCCCACCCCCTTGCCCACTTGTAGCCAAGACATGGATGGAATAGCTTTTCTAAAACTAGCTTTTCCTTGGGTTTTCCATTGTTAAACCCCGGCACACCCAACCCCCACCCCTTTGCCGCCACCACTTGTAGCCGAGACATGGATGGAATAGCTTTTCTAAAAATAGCTTTTCCTTGAGTTTTTCCAGGAATTAAACCCCCACACTACGACCCCCCCCCACGTGCCCATTTGTAGCCAAGACATGGATGGCATAGCTGTTCTAATAGCTTTTGCCTTGGGTTTCCGACTATAAAACCCCACACCCGACCCCCCCCCCCCGTGCCCATTTGTAGCCAAGAACAGGGAAATCACTTTTCTAAAAAATAGCTTTTCCCTTGGTTTTTCATAAGTAAAACCCGGCACACCAACACCCCACCCCCTTGCCCACTTGTAGCCAAGACATGGATGGAATAGCTTTTCTAAAACTAGCTTTTCCTTGGGTTTTCCATTACTAAACCCCGGCACACCCGACCCCCACCCCTTTGCCGCCACCACTTGTAGCCGAGACATGGATGGAATAGCTTTTCTAAAAATAGCTTTTCCTTGAGTTTTCCACTATTAAACCCCACACCCGACCTCTGACTATGGCATATGGCCCTGGGTGCAAGGACCCGAAGGTTTATAGGGATCCCCATGAATTTATAGGGATCCCACCATATTTATAGGGATGGGCACCCCTTACTAAGCTCTGACTATGGCATATGGCCCTGGGTGCAAGGACCCGCAGGTTTATAGGGATCCCCTTGAATTTATAGGGATCGGCACCCCTTACTAAGCTCGGATTTATAAAGTTCCCCTTAAGGATGGGAACCCTCGCACTTGCACACCGGGGACACACAGGGAAGCACATGCTGCAACACACAGGCCCTAGCACAGAGATACAAGTGCAAGCATTGGCTTCGGTGAAATCTGGCTCAAGGCACTGGCAAAAGGCATCAAGCTGCACACACACACACACACACATCTACATCACACATGGCTCGGTCGCACATGCACAAACTACCCTGCTTGCTTTGCTTACGGCAGATTACAGCACGTCGCCCTGAATGACAGGGCCCGAAACCCCTTTTTTCTGGTGCCCAGGCTCTTCAATTTACTCACAACCCTCCTCTGGTGCCCCAGACTGCACCATCTCACAGAACTCCAGCAAGTCGCACTGCACACACACACACAGCTCCAAGTCGTACTGCACACAAGCTGATCCAAGGTAGCACCAAGTCACACTGCATACAATAAGCTACTTCGCAGTCCTACCAAGTCACACACAAGCTTCAAGGTCGCACCAACTCGCACTGCACATCAGTTACTTCAAAGCTGTACCAACAAGTCACACACAAGCTTGAAGATCGCACCAAGTTACTTCGCAAATAAGCTTCTCACTTTTGGCCCAAGTGTGAGCCCGGGCCCCCACTTGTGGTCCACTGCACATACCCTCACGCTGCACTGCACACAGTCTGGTTTTCGGGCTTAGACCCTAAACCCGAAAACTCTTGCACAAGCATTACCACTCCTCTTCTTTACATGTACACTTTCCAGCCGCACGGACTCCGGTTCGCCAATTCGCACATGCACATGCACACACAAGCACACCAATCATCTCGTCGTCGTCGTCGTCGTTGTCGTCGCTGCCGTCGCTTCGCAGCCAACTCAAGGCACTTGGTCGTCGTCGTCAGCACAGGGAAAACCTAAGGCTGGTTCAAGGCATTTGCTGGCACAAACACTGCTTGCCCAAGTCGCACATACACACACTGCAAGGCTTGCTCAGAACACAAGGTGGCAGGCAGGGGCAAAGAGGGGGCAGGCAGGCAGGCAGGCAGGCAAGGACACAGGCAGGCAGGCAGGCAAGGCAGGCAAGGCAGGCAAGGAGGTAGCAGGCAGGCAGGCAGGGCAAGGAGGCAGGGGCAGGGGCAGCAAGGCGGGGGCAGGGGCACAGGGACAGGGTGGCAGGCAGGGAGGCAAGGCAGGCAGCCACAGCCAGGCAGGCAGGCAGGCAGGCAGGCAGGCAGGCAGGGGGGGAGGCGGAGGGAGGCAGGCAAGGAAACAGGCAGGCAGACAAGGGGCAGGCAGGCAGGCAGGCAGCAGGTCAGGACAGGGGCAGGATAGGGCAGGGCAGGCCAGGGCAGGGCAGCAGAGGCAGGCAGGCAGGCAAGGCAGGGCAGGCAGGGCAGGAAAGGGAAGGGCAGGCAGGGCAGGGCAGGCAGGCGGAGGGGCAGGGCAGGCAGGCGGAGGGGCAGGGCGGGCAGGGCAGGCAGGCAGGGGCAAGCAGGCACAGGCAGGGCAAGGAGGCAGGGGCAGGGGCAGCAAGGCGGGGGCAGGGGCACAGGGACAGG